ACATTTTTTCAGTTTAATTAATGCTTTAAATACATAGTTAAATAAAATTATAAAAGGGTAAATTAATAATTTTTAAATGCACATTTTAAATTGTATTTTAAAAATCATTTGTCACTTGCTTTTCTTTGTGAAACAGCTATCTGCACAATAGTGAAACAAGTTTGGCACTGCATACTGTTTTAAAATGTAAATGTAGATGTAGATATTTTTGCAGTGTGTTGCAGTGCAAGGTTCTCTCAAATTTATGAACAAACATTCTTCCAGTAACGTTAATAGAATGTTCATTCGAAGTTATTATGTGGTTTTTAATAATGCTCTCAAAATGTTAGCACAAAAAAAAATGTATCAAACGTTTTTTTCTGAAACATTTTAGTTGAACATTTAACATTTTTTTAATGTTACTACTTGTTTTAGAAAAATCCCATAATGTTTAGTTTTTTAAAACATTTAAATGGGATTGTGTTTTTTAAACATTAAAAACAACTGGACTTTTGTGCATTCAGATAATGTTCAGAAGCAATGTTTAGCAAAACATTTTTTAGAACACATTTTTGTTAGCTGGGACAGTAGATACAGTTATAACACAAAATGTGCATACTATTCATGACATGCATACTGCAGTCTGGGTAATGTGGCAGTGTCATTCCGAACAGCCAAAGAGAGAAATTGCATGTGCATGTATGTGTATGCATGAGTGTGACAGCTCTATATATTTGAGATACATGATGTGTGTTGTTATTAGGTCTAATTAGGCCAATTTACTGACATGGACTGTCTGATGTGTGTGGCCTCGATTGTATTCAGATGCAGTTAAAGACTGATGACCGGCCGCCCCTTCACACACCATCACATACCTGCCTATTGGCTGCAAAATAATTAGCCACTTAGTATGCAAATGAGCATCACAAAGCATGGCCTTTCAAAAGCAGGAATGTAAATGTCTTGTTCCAAATCAGTCTCTTTGCAAATTAATGAAGGAGCAGTTTGGGTTTGTTTGACGTTCTTTTGTCTTGCTTTGGTTTGTTTGTTTGTTTGCCAATCAAATTCAATGTATCAATGCTGCACGGAACGAAGGGAAAACTCTAAATTACATGCTACACGGGCAACCTGCCAATTTGGTTCTTGAAAATCATATCAAGCCATAAAAACGCAGCTGCGGTTTGAGCGTGTCACAAACAAACCCATTTACCAAGCTGCAAAACACTCTTTTTGCTTTGACAAAGAAGTGTAAGGTGCATGAAACACTCAATTATTTTAGCAACGATATAAAAAAATCTTTTGTGCTGAAGTTTTTGATTTATTGTGTTTTTAAGACCTCGGTTTGCAAGTTCAGCTGGTTTAAACGGCTGTCTAGCACCAGTAACTTCAGCTCATTTGGTGTTGATGGATGTTTTTCTGTCATGACGGCGTTTGATCACCTTTATGTTGACTAATTGGCTACAGTGATTGATATTTGGTGCAATGCAAGTTTCTCTAAAGGATGGGCTGCCTTCATCACAGACAGACAGTGTTTGTCATGGATAGCGCAGCTAATTGTTGGGTTTGTAAGGCGCGCTGACATTGAATGAGCACTGAGACAGCTCGTCGTGCTGGTATTTACAGTCAAACTATCAAAACAGTTACTGAACCGTGGAGCTGAAGCGATTATCATTGATCATGAGTGGTTTCATATTACTAATATGTCATTTAGCTGATGCAGACGCAAAGTACACGGTCAACCTGGAGTATCCTGAGGTTAAAAACCTCTTCAAGGGCACATTTGTGACGCTCATGTGCCAGTCGTTGCTGGAGTTTAAAAACTTCAACCATTTAGTTGTTCAGATTTTAAGCCCTACTCTATAGGTATAGAAAACTGCTGTCATGTGCAGAATGCATGTTGAAAAATAGAAAAATATTCCATTAGAAAGGCACTTTTCAAGCACTGAAAAACACCTTTTACAAAAAGTACTATGGTGGTAACATGGTATCAGCTTATTTTAATGTAAAGTTCTGCTGAAATGCCTATAATAGGCTATTTAATATCATGCTATCCTTCTTGCTCACTTGGAGCATTGTGTTGGTATCAAAGGAGCTGCCCTTGAATGGTTTAGATCTTATCTTTCAAATAGGAAGTTCAGTGTAAATATTGGGGAATATTCGTAGGAGGCTGCTGTTCTTTCCTGTGGTGTTCCACAGGGATCCATTTTAGCTCCCATTCTTTTCACACTATATATGCTCCCATTAGGGTCTATCTTCAGGAAATATGGGTTGTCGTTCCACTGCTATGCGGACGACACTTAAAACCTAATACTGATGGGCTGGAAACACTTAGGTCCTGCCTATCTGACGTGAAAGCTTGGTTATCTTTAAATTTCCTAAATTTGAATGAGAATAAAACTGAAATCATAGTTTTTGGCTCATCTGATTCTCCTAGTCAAATAACCCTAGGTAATTCAACACTCCCTGCAAAGCCTTGGGTAAAGAACTTGGGTTTTGTGTTCGATGATGGTTTAAAATTTGACAAGCAGATAAACTCAGTGGTCAAATCCTGCTTTTTCCAGCTTAGTCTTTTAGCTAAAGTAAAACCTATCATGTCTTTTAATAACTTTGAAAAAATAATTCATGCATTTTTAACATCGAGGCTAGACTATTGTAATTCACTGTATTACGGGATTAGCCAATCAGCTTTATCAGCTTTACAGATGGTACGAAATGCGGCGGCAAGACTTCTGACATGTACTAAAAAACAGGACCACATTACTCCAGTGCTACACACTTTGCACTGGCTGCCTGTACGATACCGTGTTGATTTTAAAATTCTTCTTTTAGTATTTAAATCTTTAAATGGTCTGGCCCCTCCTTACCTTTCGGATTTACTGACAGAACATCGTCCAGTTGTGTCTCTCCGGTCGTCTAATCAGAGATTGCTACGTCTTATCCGAAATCAAAGCTGAAAATTAGGGGGGACCGGGCCTTTTCAGTAGCTGCTCCCAGATTGTGGAATGCACTACCCTCCAATATTAGATTTACTCCAACCATATCTGTTTTTAAATCTAGGTTAAAAACTTACCTTTTTGAACTGACATATGGTCAGTAATGAAATTTATTGCACGGTGTGTTTTTGCTTTTATGATTTTCTTAATTATATATTGATATTTTTACTGTCTCTTGTATTGGTGTAAAGCACACTGGTCAACTGTTGTTGTGTTTAGTTGTGCTATAGAAATAAAATTGACATTAATGTCAGGACAACTTACCCCACATGGTGTGACAACATGCCCCAATAGTGATCAAGGTGTATTCAATGAAGTCAATCTTTTGTCTTGGCCAATAATGGCTAAAATGTTTTTTTTTTGGTCAACATTTTAAGGGTTTTGTCTACGCAGAAATTGACTTTATAAACTATAGTCATATTCTATACCCTACCTTGCAGTACCATGTGAATACCAATGTATTCGTAGGCTAAAAGTACCAGGGTAAAATTGAATCACATTAAATTAAATAACATTAGAAATAATGACATTAATAATGATAATTCATTACATTTAAACATTGCTCTTCTCGACATTCAAAGCTCTAACATTATATCACTTTATATGGTACCACGACAGTACTTTTATAAGGGTCGTCAGAGTACCTGAGCACATAAAGACGTCTCAAAACGTGTTTCAGATGGATTTCCTGTCTCATATTGACATATAAACAGGGCTGGAAACATGCGAGAGAATTCTCTATCTTGGGAAGGACGATTCATTTGAGCGAATCGGTTCGTTCAGATGACTCGTTTCAGTGAGCCGCCATTCTCAGATTGTTTCGATCACCAAAAGTGTTCCTAGAAGTCCATGTTACGTTTTATTATTGTTGTGATCGTTTTTATTTTTAGCGGGGAGCTTTCGGTTGCTACATAGATTTTGTCAAACGCCGTTTTGTGATTATTATGCTAATTTTAGTGTCTAAAACAATAATGTCCCTCATGAAAGATCCATCTTGAACTTGTGCAAACAGGTGTTTCACTAGCCACCATGATCCAAAACATGGTGATCATGTGGATTATTTTACGGTTTCAGATGCATTGTTCCAACTATTATTGATATGTATTATTCTTAATATTGAAAAAATGGTATGTCCGCCACCAGTGTTGGGGGTAACGCATTACAAGTAACGCGAGTAACGTAATCAGATTACTTTTTTCAAGTAACTAGTAAAGTAACGCATTACTTTTTAATTTACAAGAGAATATCGGAGTTACTTTTTCAAATAAGTAACGCAAGTTACTTTTTTCCCAATTTATTGATTGACAGCTCTGCTGTCGCCATGTTGAGAGAAATCAGATGTTACTGTAGCTCTAAAATAAATATGAATATGCATTATCTCACTCACAAACAAAAACACAGATTCAGTATTCCTCAAAATGAATAAAAATAATGCAACTCAGAATATGACGCAAACCTGCAATAATTAAATGTTTAACAACACAAATATGCTTTATGTATTTAATCCCATTCTATTAACCAATGTCTTTGCTTCTGACCTTCGATGATCCTGTTCAAGCGTACTAATAATCAAGAATTACTCTAGACAACATTTGTGTGTCTTTGTTTATTGCTGAAGTGTGTTGAAATGTCTTCTTCTGCATTCTACTGTACGGACTTAAATGTACTTTCCTTTCAGCCTGAGGCTTATTCATTTCACTTTTAGTGTGAAAGGGCTTTTATATTTGCCAAAAACAGAACTTTTTTATTTTAAAAACAAACAAGCAAGCCCTGTACAGATTTAAAAAGGAACGCAAAAGTAACGTAACGCATCACTTTCCATAAAAAGTAACTAAGTACCGTAATTAGTTACTTTTTTTATGGAGTAACGCAATATTGTAATGCATTACTTTAAAAAGTAACTTCCCCCAACACTGTCCGCCACACTTACTCCCAAAGACTGATGGAATGAACGCTGCGAATCGGCTCGACTGAATCACTACAAGGAATCGGTTCAAAAGATCCATTCGTTCGCGATTCAGACGCCACTACCACGGCGCGATCGAACCCCTCCCAGTTACTCCCGTGGCTTTTGCCACGAACATCAGGCAACAATTTCCAAATATGCGAGAGCTCACATGAAATAACGAGCGAGAGCGTCACATCATATGTTTGAATGATTCCTCGAGGATGCGAGAGTCACGGATGCGGCGATCGATGAGTGTTTCTGTCGCAGGTAAGAGACGAACGCATGTCGCCTGTTGCTCAGCCACAAATAAACACACATCATAGAGACTTGACATGCATTCGTCTGTGTCACATATGCATCTTGCATGCTGGGAACTACATGCTGAACATGGTGTAAAATTAGCAGATTGTACGTGCGTCAGATGATGTTAGTATGAGAGTGAATTATTGCATTGATGCGTTTCATATGATGTGCACCTTTTGAATAGCAATTGACAGGTCATCGATGGCTTTTATTGTGCCGTTTGGATTTGCAGTACAGCTGGCATGTCTGATTTATCTAAACCAGCCATGCACGAGCAACTTATTTGCAGTTATTGATTCGTCTCATAATGGATCTAATAATCATGTTTATTGAATGCAATCAGGCTTCACATTCGTTAGGCTGTTTAGACCCGCAGCTGTAATCTGTAAAATCGCTCTTCACCGCTTTACAAGTCGGGAAAAGTTATTTTCAGCTCTTGGCTTTTTGATTTAGACCTGCCTTTGAGATGCTGTCTGCTTGAGAAATTGCTGGAAGAAGGTGATGTTCCCTTTGATCACACCGGAAGGGTCAGATTTCATGCCAGAGCCACTAGGATTAAATCAGGGATAATGCATTGGATCAAAGCTCTGATGCTGCTCATATATCTGATTGGATTATTGTTATATTTGACACCAGACGCCTTCAAAGTCAGATTCAGATCTGCTGTTTGAACTGAGCAAGATTGTCTAAACACCATATTTGATTCTTTGTGCTGCTAATACTTCTCTCAAATCCAGCAAGAAGTGAAATGCACGTGTTGCATGCATACAATGCATCAAAAGAAATATCTGTACAATTTCTCCATGTTCAGACGTTGCTTGTTTATGTGGAAGTCGAATAAAATATCAGCCAAACATAATTTGCGCACTGATTCAAAGCTATGTTGAATGAATCATTGCAAGCACAAGAAAGCCATTATGATTTCTTTCCCGCAGCTCCATAATCTTCACATTATGAACTTTAATGGGTTATGATGATGGCAATAGTAATGATGGCAAAAACTTTGCAATCTGTTTGGCTTTCTTAGAGCTGTGACCTAGCTCCAAGCTCTGGATCAATGTGTTTTAAAATTAAAACCTGATGTCAGTCTAATTATGACTCTTCCATTCACGATGAGCAGTGTCTGTACTCATTCTAGTAATGCCAACAGCATATGCAATTTATGTAATTCTTAACCAGTATCTAATATCTACACATCCTTAGAAGAAGAACAAATGCTCCCCAGAAGCAAATTTCATGCAATATTAATACTTGTTGTCTAAGAGCATGCATCTTAAATAGAAGTTTTAAATGTTTAAAGGGGTCATATGATGCAATTAAAATGTTTCCTTTCTCTTTGGAGTGTTACAAGCTCTTGGTGCATAAAGAAGATCTGTAAAGTTGCAAAGACTAAAGTTTCAAATCCAAAGAGATATTCTTTATAAAAGTTAAAATTCAGCCACGCCTACCTAAAACGGCTCGTTCTAACACGCCCCCACATATCTACATCACCATGTGGGAAGATTTGCATAACGCCGCCCAAATGTTCACGCAAAGAAAGAAGTCGTAACTTTTATTCTCGCTGTAGTGTTCTTGGCATTGCCGCCGCCGCCATGTCGTGAAGGCGCTGTGTTTCATTGTGAAAGCGAAACTACTTAGTTTGGTCTTCCAAAAGAGGACGATATCCGCTTCGTCATGCCTGGAGCTGATCCGTGCTGGTCGCTGAAGAAATACGATCGGCTTTCACCGTGGACGAAGCGGAGTCCAGCCCGGGGTCATCACATGTGGTTGCCGCAAGCCCGCTGGACGCTCCTTCATTGAATCCGCCGGCCGTTCCTCACTCTAGCCGCCGGCCGCGCCGTTCTCAAGCCCGCCGTGTGTGACGCTGTGCTTCGTTGTGAAAGCGAAACTACTTTGTTTGGTCTTCCAAAAGAGGACACGACTAGAAATCAGTGGTTAAGTTGTATTTACAACACTGTTCCAGAACAGTTCAACCCAAATATCCAGATGTGTGCAGCGCATTTTATGGAGGACTGTTTCCTGATCCTGGAAGAG